AAGGATTGTCGAAATGTTCAGGTCTGTAACAACTTAGGTTGGTTGGTTAAGAGTCCACCCCAAACAACCAAGCATATGCCAAAACAGTATTGTTCAAGTATTCATTCACTTCCTTATTTTTTTATAAGCGTTATATTCCCTATTATCTTATATTGAATGTTGAGAGCCTTTGTTTGTCTGAACAGATAATCCCACGCTCCACTGTGACTGCGCGAAGATCGAAATAAAGACCTATTCACTAATTGTCTGGTTTCTTCTGTCAATAGCACGAGGGTTACCTTGAGGCACGAAAGGACAATAACGATAATCACACGAGCACATTGGAATCAGACATTCAAGGGCTACCAAAAACCTTGTGTTGTACTAAACTAAATATATTACTCTATCAACATTTTATGTGTTTCTCAGAATTCCGCTGACCATCACTATAGAACAGGTCAGCACAAATGATTGTATGGCATCCACGTCATGTCGGATAGATATCTGAGTTATATCATGTCAGTTCTACAACCTTGGATTAGTTTTACTGTTTTAGTAGCAAAGATGAGTGCATTAGTATCAACCTAGTAGTTAACCTTCCATACTCTAAGCTAGACATTTACACTAGATCACAGTTGTACACGCCGTGACAAGCATCCTTTGGAACAGCTCCATTGCTTAGGTCAGGTGCTTCTCGACTCATCGGAAGTCTTTCAAATGTATCTTCGAAGCTCCTTATTCTTGAGTTTGTTTAGACCAACTTTGGGAACTTTGATCATATAGAAAGCTTGACAACAGTTTTGCCAAGCACCGATCAGCAGTACAATGCTTTCAGTCAGATGTCAAGAAGTCAAGCCTGCTGCATAAGCGAAAATGAGAACGACTAAACCTACAAAACTATCGATCTAAAAAAGATTGGCACAAACGAAGAAATATTTGATGGAAGTTACCAACTAACGCCAAATGACAACTGATTGCGTAGAAACCTTCGTGGTTTTCACTAAACTAAGAGGGGCAATTTACCGATGAGCCTGAACAGAAGCAAAATATTTCAACGATAATATTGTCTACGTATTGTTGCTTAATTCAGAAGTTGGTAGTCAATTTGTTCCTAATAATAACGTAACTACTATTCAAAACGACGTTGAAGATATACACACGAGGCATTATAAAAAGGTTTTAAGTATGATGGTACCTGACCAGCACTTCCTTCGACTGGCAGGGACGGTTGACAAAAACTCGAATCCAGATAAGGCGGTCATCAGAAGTTTGGAAAACATAAGGGAAATAGTAGGGATTCAGAATTTGTGGACGTCATGATAATAGTTGCGGTTAATTTAAAATGAGAATAAACATACAAAGATACAGACATTCAACAAAAACCCAAAGAGTCTTTTACGAAGTTCTCAGCGTATTTCCATTTCAGCAAACGATAATGGGTCTTACAAGGACATGTGCGTGTTCCAAAACTTTTAGATAAACAATATTATATCCAGCAAGCTTAATGAGACATCTGTAGATCACAAACGTAGATTATCTATGTCGAATGATTGGAGACCTAATCGAGTTAGATGAGAATGGTGTGATCAACAGCTCGCGGTCAGCACCTAACGTGTATTACCCTTTTGTCATATCAATGTACAGTGGGTGCTTTGAACACCGTATGACACAAAGGACATTATTTAAGAAATGCATTAGTAAAAGTAGGTGCAATAGAGGGGTTGTGACCACTTCAGGACAGGTCAGTCCATGGCACGCAACCAACTGATTTAGGTAGGGCTCGTTGACATTCCACCAAACTACACATCTATTATACTAAAAATGAATAGCTAGGCTTCTATGAAGATTCGGAAATTCTGATGGGTTTTCGATATGTCGTGTTAGATCATATTCTATTTGTCACATCTTAAACTGTTACATGGTTGTATTAAATACCGATGTATCTCTTTTTAATTTTCCTTTACGACATTATCCCCGGTTACCCAACTTCAGTAATTTGTCTTGTTCCTCAAATAAACTGACGTATTACGCAAAGTGGCTCAAGAGGAATCTGTAGAAGATATTAATGATTAAGTGTTTCCATGACTCATCTCACAATCCTGATGTCATCTCTTTGGATTAGTTTGATGGATGAAATATACATGCAAGAGCATGAACTTTGGCTTAGACTATATTCAAGAGTTAAGCTTGAATTTTCGTTGCTTTTTTACCCCAGAAAACTAAAATGCGTTACGGTAGCTATTCTAGTCGGAGTCATTTACAGGAAGCCAACTGCCGACATCGAGTACGATAGTCGTATGCTGAAAGGACTATCCCGCTCTATCCGTCTCGGTTTCACACACATCCTGATTCTAGGGGACTTTAATCTCCCTAGAGTCAACTTCGCGGAACACACGTACACTGGAGGCGACAACTCAATTGAAGCTCGGTTCTTCAACCTCATCGATAACTTGGGCTTATATGAAAATGTGAGGTCGGCAACTCGTTGGGGAAACAGTCAGACACCATCGCGCTTAGACTGTGTATTCACTAACGAAGAATTCCTAGTCGACAACCCCTCAATCCTGGCTCCTCTGGGAAAGAGCGATCATGCCGTCATAGCCTTCAGTTTTGTCATCAAAACGAAGCTAAGGTATCCCAACAATAATTTGCGTTGGAATTTTAAATGGCTGAATGTGCCAGCTCTACATGACTATCTACAACAGGTGGTTTGGGATGTTCACCCTCAACTCGATGTGGATGGTCATTGGGACTTCTTACTGCACACGCTCTTATGTGCTACAGACCATTCAGTTCCTCAAACGGTTCCAAAAAGCTGCAAGCCACCTACAGTAATCAAGAACCGTACCCTTCGCCTGCTAAGCCGCAAAAGGCACTGTTGGGCGGAATACAAACGAACTAATAACGATGAAGCGTGTAGGCAATATAAACATATCAGGAACATATGCACGAAGGCTATAAGAGAAGACAGGCTTCAGTACCAAACAAAGCTTATGGACAAATTCGCCTCTAACCCTAGAAGCCTATTCCGTTATGCAGCCTCTCTTCGTCAAGCCAAAACAGGAGTTTCTCAACTGCTAGGTCTTAACGGCCCGACCAACAACGACGGCGACGCCGCCAACCTTCTGGCGGCACATTACTCTCAAACATTTCAACCGGCTGACATCAACTTTATTGACGACAGTTTCATCTGCAGTTCCACAGGACTTTCTGAAGAGGACCTAAGCGCTGACTTGGTGTTCCGGAAATTGCAGCACTTAAGACTAGATACTTCTCCTGGCCCGGATACGGTTCATCCTGCCATACTGAGGGAGGCAGCCTCAATCCTGGCAACGCCGCTTAGCGTGATGTTTTCACACTCGCTTAGCCGAGGCAAATTACCGGAAAATTGGAAGTTGGCTCACATCACACCAATTTTCAAAGGAGGTCGACGCAATGAACCTTCAAGTTATCGGCCAGTGGCTCTTCTGTCATTACCTTCAAAACTCATGGAGTCCCTGATATGCGACGGTTTAAATGACTATCTACTGTCCTTAAATTTCTTCTCACCCCAACAGCATGGTTTCAGGAAGGGTTACTCTTGTATAACCAACCTGCTGACTGCGGTGGACAGATGGACAAGCATCCTCGATCGCAAGGGAAAGGTTGATATCAGTTACCTTGATTCCTCAAAAGCTTTTGATAAGGTTAACCACTTCTGTCTTATCAATAAGCTCAAACGACTGGGTATCAAACCACCTCTAATCGATTGGCTTACTTCATACCTAAAAAATCGACACTTTAAGGTTAGGGTTAATTTCACTTTATCTCAGGCTATGGAATGTCCTAGTGGGATCCCCCAGGGCTCAGTACTAGGGCCTCTTCTCTTCGTGATCTACATAAACGATCTTCCTCAACAGGTAACGTCAGACTTACTACTTTTTGCCGACGACGTGAAACTTTGGAGAGAGATACGCAACCAAGATGACACACAAGCACTTCAGGAGGATCTGACTCGACTTCAAAGTTGGGCAGACGATAACGGACTTACCTTTAACACTTCAAAGTGTAAAGTAGTCCATCTGCGACATGTCGCAGATTACAGTTATAACTTGGGAAACTCCTCTCTAGTAGTATCCCAAGTCGAAAAAGATTTAGGAGTGCTGGTGCCCCATGACTTAAAGTCTTACGCTAACTGTGACAAAAATGCCTTCCGAGCAAACCTTGCACTGGTAACGTTGAGGCGCATTTTTGGCCAGTTTGACGGACGAACTTTCCACACAATCTTCAATAGTTTCATCCGTCCCCATCTAGAATACGGAAACATAGTACTCCCCCCTCACTCCAAAAGGACAAGGTCACTTTGGAGCGTATCCAACGGCGAGCCACGAAATCAGTTCGAGGACTCAGATCTAAGCCTTACGAAGAACGCCTCCGTTCACTAGACCTTTACCCATTAGAACATAGGCGTCTTAGAGGTGATTTATTAATGGCTTATAGTATTCTTAGCACTTCTGGGCATCCTCTTAAACACCTACTTAAGCTTAGTTCGAATAATAACCTAAGGGGTAACACCCAGAAACTGGAAACACAACATAGCAAGACGAAATGTAGACACAACTTCTACTCCTTAAGAGTTGTCAAAAGCTGGAATTCGCTGCCGGCCGAGCTAGTCCAAGCGACTTCTCAGGAGTCCTTCAAGAGGCAACTTGACCTATTCTTAAGGACCAAGGACAGCATCACACTATGGTTTACCAATTTCTTTTCCTCTTTTATTGTTAACATACCTAGGTTCCTGCCTGGAGGATTTGGTGATCCCCTGCTACTAGACACGGAAGCCTGTTAAGCGAAAGCTTCTTCTATTCCGTCCACAACCATTTGAACCATTTGAATATTCAGTTCGTTCCAAAAAATTGAAATGAATCCTATAGGAGAAATGTAACTTTTAAGGCGTCAGTAAAATTCTACTTGAACTAAAAATGATTAGATCTGTAAGATATCTCAATTAACTGATATGGAGATAAATAACTGTAGACCGTGTTAATTTTGATTTTTGCGGTACAACTGTGACAGTGACAATTTGTGTCGTGTTTGGTTTCGGTGGTAAGCACTTATGTTCCCTTTTAATGTCCTCCTAGAGATACGTATCTCAAGATCGACGGTCTAATCTCTGCATAAATCCACCCTATATAGTCTACTTCCCGCTTATATAAACGGGAAGTGATACATATGTATCACTGACATTTAAGTATCAGTCGTGTGCACACGACAATGATTCTGGTGTAACTGACAAATATGACAGTCTTCGATCGATATTTGGCAAGGAATATAAGCATTAACTTGTTAGTTTTACGCTTTTCTTGGACTTAGCTGATGATTAAGAACTTCGCCTTAGCTGCCAATTTTGGGGAAAATTTGGCACATTTTGGGGAAGCCGCTATAGTAAATTTAGGGGAAATGGCACAAAACCTCCCAAATTCCCTTTTAACCTTGGTGAAGGTCATTTGACTTCAGCAGTTTCCCTAAAAGTTCCCCAAAATTGGAAGCTCGGGTCTGTTCTAAATGAAATACTTGCTCTTATCAACATTTGACATGCCTGTAGGCATGTCTCGATTGTCACAAAGCAGCAGATTCAAATGGAATATTCGAATGATAGTATGCGAAAATTTTCGAAAACACCCGGGGAAGCCACATATTCCCATTATCAGTGACGGATGTGATTTTGTTCAGTGAAACATCAAAGTGAGACTATGTTTATTTAAGTATTATTCTGAAAATTTCTTCTAAGAATGTGACAGCATACGGTGAGACTTGGCAGTCGTTAAAATTGATCCCTGCACCTAGAAAACGGGAAGGAAAAGTTTTTAGTGTAGACTATTAATGATATTGTCTTTCTCTTGATAGCAGTTATGCAGCTTAACTTTTATGTGACGAAAACCTTGTGTTTCTAACAAACTTATGTCTTGTTAGAGATATGTGTCCACATCACCCAGTTCCCCTTCAGTAGTGCTTTCCTCATTAAATTTTTCGGGGTTGTTTGTGATTACCTTGTTAAATGAAGATAATAATAGTAAGTTAACTTACTAACAAGACAAATCATCGTTTTTGAAAATAACTTGTGCTTGAAACTCACCAAAGTAGTTGTGAACCATCGATTGAATAGTCGACCGGTTCCCATCCGGATCGACGTCTGTGTTCGTTAGTTCAATTTTCACTGAGTTATTTGGCTTAATACATAATATCTACCGACAACCCTTTCTGCTTGCTACACCAAATACTTGTTTACTAGTCAAAACAATTACAACACACTTTTCTAGTTACAGGCTTAAGAAGTTTAAAAATGGGTTGTTTCTTTATCTCAATGTTCTAGTGTATTTATGAGAAAATGGAAAATTAACATACAAAAACATACGTAAGAGTGAATCAATCACCTCGTTATTTGTGTGGCTTACAAAAATTTGCTTAGACGATATTCCAGCTATAGTGTTTGTGTTCATAACTAACCACGGACAATATTTTTCTATACGAGTAGAATGAAATGCTTTGGTTAGAAGACCTATGAGTTTAAAACCCGTTGATGCATTATCCAAGAAATCTGAAATTTCTCCAAGCTTATCCTCAACTATTACCATATCATTGGGCTTAAATGAGGTGAATCAAGGATCTTTGCAAGGAATAACGTTTCTTAGAATCTTATGCGACTAATTTTAGTTATAACAATGCAGAGTTATAGCCTACTACTAACGATTTTTTTTGTACAGCGCTGGAAAGCCTTTTTGGCTGCAGTAGATTTACCCACTTTCTAACCACTAATCACTAAATTCACACGAACCTTAACTGGGTAATCTGCACCTGCTTACATAACTCAATTCGGCCGTTATTGTCTTCACGTATTGATGCCATGTCATGATTTGGTCTCCTAGCTTCGTCCCAAGCTACTTTAATAACCATGAACGTCGTGATTCTTAAAGAGAAACGTCACGCAAGATGCGACATTTTGTTTAAAACTTGGGTAGTTTCCTTAGCACAATACGATAGACTTAACTATAGGTGTGATACGCTTGTCCATATTTTCAGGTCTTGTGGGATAAGGCCAGCCACAACGAATTTTTACGCTGCACCTTAATCATACCCATATGAGTAGTGTTTCAAGGGAAAGCGTACACCATACTAATAAGAAATAATTAGAAGTTAGGATTTCCATGATAATGAATAGTTTGACTCTGCGAATAAATAAATCCCAACCTCTACTGACAGATGACGAAAATAGGCGAAGTGAATGAAGACGCCGCGAACAAAAGGAACATTATTGTAAGAGAGCATAACATTCCCACCTCCTTTCTCTCCCACTAAACTCATTTTTTTCTACTTCCTTTTGGCACTTTGGGGTGTCAATGGCATACATGCAACACTAGTGTCAGAAGAGTATTATCTGTTCACTGGATTAAGTCGACAACTGATTACTTTAGCTGCTATTTATGCGTACAACAACTCATATAAGAAGCGTTTTGTGATGTAGTATCTAGTTCTCCCATATCAATTCTCTTTCGTCTTTTTTAGGCTGTCTGAAGATTATAAATAAGTACTTCTGTTTTCCAAACAATGTTTCCTGACGCCTTATAAATCAGTTAGTTTAGGAATTACTTCTTAGAAACAATTTACAATTACCACTTCTTAACTTGGCTACTAATAATCCAGAGTTCCCATTAGTGGAATATATGTTGGGATCCGCTTTGTGGGTTAGTAGAGGTTCTTGAAACAAACGCACTGAAATGCAGTGATCGTATCAGGCTGGAATAGACCTATGTATCACAGCACTGGGTTAGCTAATAATGACTTTATATATATCGTATATTGTTTAAAGTAGAAGCCTGTGAAGGTCCCATTTTCTTGTGCAAACACTAAAAGCCTTTATGCTGATGACGATTGTAAATGCAATTTCAACTTCGCGTGCAACTTGTTTTTGGTTTATATACAGTGAGCTTTGTATGTACCGAAGGATACAAAAGGAAAATACTCTCCCGGATATTAGCACTCTTTAAATAACATCTTCAAACCTAATCTTTCCGACTACTGCTTATACTCTTACCGCCTCTACCACTACGGGATTTTAATCGACAACTGCATCTTTGTGCTAATGTGGTGTGGCAACTCGAACTGATGTACGTACGTACGAAGTTCTACGTTGTTACTGACTAACTGAGCACTTACCATTGCTTTTATTGTTTATTTAATTTCAGAACATTCACAATGGTAATTTTTCGCTATTACAAATGCCTTAAGTACTTCAGTCTGAGCTCCGCGTCGCTGAAATATCTGAAGATACTGCAGATAACCTAAAAAAGTTCAAATTTCGAAAATCCCAGAACACAGTTGCCCTCATATGTTGTCCCTTGTTTATTAAGTGTTAATCAGTATCATGTTGTAGTGAAAATTGATAAAGAAGCTTTGAAAATCGAACCAGAACAAATACTTGAAGTCAGTTTATTTTATATGCTTAAAGAACTTCCCAATTTAGGATATTACACTTAACAATCTCAAAGATTCTTTACCGTACCATCAACCAAGATATATTCTTTTAAGTTACCGTTATGAAAAGGAGGATGGTCGAGTAACATTTCCATACTGTCTATTATTTTCAACTCCAATGGGTATGTGATTGTATCGAATCGGTTTTTTTAATTGTTCTTAATTGCTTATGGGTAGGAAACTAAATTGTCTTCTACAGAATCAGAAATGCGACTTGTGTCAAAGCATCATTCTAATTACTTCATTGCCTACTTTACTAACTAACTTGTCAAAGAATAACTAAGATGTATCTATCTCTCGGTCCTGGGGTCTGGACACGTAATCCAGGTATTCCAGAATTACACTGGGGTAAAGGAGAGCAGAGTTCATAACACATATCCTGAATACTACATTCGTTCAGACTTAATCACTTTCACCGTGTACCTGCAGAAATCTTGGGATAGTGTTCTTAGTCTTGTCGAGCTACAATTGTGCCGACAGGCTTCAAGAAGCACTTGCTTTACTACAACCACACATGGGATCCCTAGAAATATTTGCTTTAAATTTTTGTGGCTGTCTCTCATTATGGGCTTTAGAGATCAGTGATGCTAAAGGATGGGTCAGTTAAAAGGAACTGAAGATACTATATATATAGTTTATCCGTTTGGATAGAATATTGATTTAAGCCTGCACATTATTAAAAACTTTATAGGTTCTGCTACTAACCTGAAGATGATGTATACCACAAGTCTTACAAATCTGATGCATAAAAGCGGAGTTACGAAGGTAAGTATTGAGGTTCAGCATACTATATCTGACCTCTTAGGTTTTTGAGCTCAGAGACCTGGAAGAACTTTCGGATGAATGGTTACAAGAAAACCTGGATCGCACAACTTGAGTTAATAAATTGACCTTCAGATCCAATTTTGTTAATTTTTTTACATAAATTGAAATCCATGTTATATTTTATTCTCTTGTATCGACGCGGAATATAGAAATAGATTAGAAGTAAAAGTACACGCTGTAACAGAAACCTATTTATTTGGTAAGAATATTTCAGTTACCAAGCTTCGTTAATTACTTCGCAAAACTTTTCTGCTCGATGCCAAAAACTCCTTATGACTATCCAGTGTATGGAATCGATCGTTAAGTGGTTATCATACATGATGCTTACTCCTATACTTTCCCCCAGTCAGGTTTCATAAGTAGTAGTCCCAAAAGCTCTCCGTAATTTGTTACTTAGGATTTAAAATATCCAAAAGAGAGATTTAAAGTCTTCCTCAATTAGTATTTAGTTCATTTCATGCTGAAATATATACATTTCTGTGTAACATTTTGACGTAATGTTATCATCCAACTAGTGAGTTTTGCTTGCTTAAAACAAGACTTTCGTCGCATAAATTTATATTTTTACATGCAAATTTACACATAAATGACCAATTTTAGCGAAACTATAAGTCTGCTTTAACACATTTCTTCTTTGTTGCTCTCTATTTTTATCACTTACAATTAAGGCTTCAACGAAAACCTAAATGACTTCACATTTTATGCCCAAGTTTGAAATTAAAATGGGAGCCTTTCTTCAAGTCTGGTTCGTAAGAAATGAAGTCAGCTTACGGTTGCTTGACAAACAAAAGAAATACAGGCTTAAAAGTGAGAAAACTGTAGTTTATCCAAGAAGAGTCAGTGGTTAACAAGGGAACACATATATACGTGATACTATACTAAGCTCAGTAAATAGTTTGTAAGGGACGTTTTAACACTTTGCGGAGACGAACTTTAAAATTTATTCTAACACACATATTGGTACAAGGAGGCAGCAAATACATATGCGCCACACAGATCTTATTTGATATGTGTAAGGGCTGTGACACTGCCCGGGTGCCCAAACCGAGGCAGGTGGTTTTCTCAGGGGACCACACGCGGGACCTTCGACCTGATCCACAAGGCAGTGGAGCAACGTAAGGAGGTGCATTCCCGTGGAAGCCGGTGACCAACGATTGGTTCATACGCCATTTGTTCCTTCAGGATACTGGAGCCCATGTGCACCATTGGTTTGGAATCAGGGTTTTCCAACTCCCCTAGGTGGAGTCACCGTGTCCACCAACCCGGTTAAAGCGCCGGACATTCGGTTTTCGTCCTCAATTTAGTAAACAACCCCGCCACGAGAAGGCAATGAGTAGGACTTCCCTGGCAGAGGCTATATACGCGTGGCCATATGGGAGCATTTCGAGAGGTAGAGCAGACTCTCCCCACTCTCGGCCGTACCAGGGCATTTGGGGGCCAGTTATACAAACACCTATATAAAATAAGCAGTTAATTGTGAACCCGCTAATAAAGAAAAATCCAGCGAGGAATAAATGTAACCTTAATACACCAAGAAACTCATACCAAAACTTACTGAATTTCATACAGCAACTGGGTAGTAACTCAGTTGTCAGGCGTTAGATGAATTTTGAATGAAAACATCACAGCAAGCGGATTTCGATCTTTTATCTGGATAGGGCTTATGGAGATCTCACTATGATTAATACGATTACATCTCTAAAGAAAAGTGACTAGACGTTTTCAGAAAGTATCACCGCGCTTTATATTACATAAACACAGTTTACTCTAAAAACAAGCAGTAGATCGAATAGCGTCATTGAGCGATTACCAAATTAATGACAGAACAAACAAAAATCATATTTACAGGATTTCTAGTCAAATAGTTAACGCATTCCAGCTCTAGCTTTCTTCTTTCTTGATAAGTTTCTCAGTAAGCTTGGTGTGACTCGCTTAACATCTCCATACCTCCCGGAATACGAAGAGGAATACAATTGGTTTTTTCGAAAACTGTCACATCTTTGACGAGCCGTGTTTTCAATATTTGCGCTATCCAGTATTCGAACATGAATCCCATTCAACCTGTTTATTTTTTTCCATGACTTGTGATTTCGTGTTTCAAAATCAGATCCCTTGGATTTCAAGGTGTTAATTGTAAAAGAATCAATATTGTCAAAAAGTATTGTCTTTGATTTATTCTTATCGTGCTCTTCACTGCCATCATACCCTTCATCGGACTCTGAAATGAATAAGTGAGTTTTATGAAGAGTGTAACTATCAGCAGAAATAATACCATATATATCCTATTAACTGCGTGAGGCTTAGTAATAAAGCTGCATTATAGGTGGACCAGACTTCAGGTTTATTTGCTTCAAGTGGTATGAACTTAATAGAATTATCGTATTGTGGTCGACTTTTATTCTAATCAGCTACAGGGTGTCCTATACAGACACCTAACGGTATTCTTAATGACCTTGGTCAAACTGATAAAGACAAGTGTGTAGCTAAAACAAAAGAGGAACCAGATGCACATAAAAAGCCTTGGAAAACGTCAATCACGTAGTATTGTATACCTCACTAGTATGGTTTTAGCGAAAATACGTCGCTAATAATAGGAACAGTTTGCTGGAGATATTGCCAGGTCCCCTTGGTGAGTTTGTATGCAAGTCATGAGCACAAAATTATCAGAGAATTACAATTACTATCCACGAATTTGGTTTTTGCTCTACAACTCAACCAGAAACAAGACTAACTACTCATTACCACGAATTGAGTAACCAAATATGAAAATAAACGTATCTATTGTGTGAGGATAAACATAGTGCTGATATATTTGCACGTCACGGTAATAAGATCATTATAAATTGCTACATTAGGTGGAATGAAATCTAGGACGAATTGTTAAACCTTACAGAATACGTACTAGTGAGATTGTTTGTCTTAAGTGTTACCGTAAACACTGCGTCAAATGTACTATTATGAAAATGTTATTGATATGCTACATGATATCGTTAGCTAGAATACTAATAAGCTAAACATATATAAATTAAGGCATGGTATAAACAATTATCATCCAGAGTTACACACCCAAGTCATAAGACACGATTAGAAGTGTAGTTTCTTGTGATGACTGTCAATCTAACACCGCTTTTAGGTACGTATTTTAGCACGCGATTCATCCTACTGAAGTTTCTGACAGATAGGAAGAGGTGAGTCTGAGGAAAACTGTATGACGCGACTCAAGCATAATTGAAAAGTTCACATCTTAAAAATCAATCATTGTACAGGGATAGTAACTTACCATTGCCGTATAGTAGTTCATTCTCGTTCGGTGAAGAGCTGGCTGATATGTCCAAGGATTGAGATTTATTTTGTATGGGAGGTTGATCACCATCGTCTTCACCAAATTGAAGATGATCTGATGTGTTAAAATATCCCGGACAGTTAAATTCTTCTTCTAGATAGTCCTTTTCCTTAATATACGCATGTATATGATGGAAGTGACAACCTTACATTTGACTTTTCCTTATCCTTCAGCGGTATATACTAATTTTCAAAAGACTATTACATAAAACGCATAAGACTTACTTGGATTTCTTGGCAAGCTATTTCACTAGACTGGCAGCCGTCCTAAAGTAAAATATAACAAACCGCATTGAACATTACTGTTTGTTTGCGTACATTACGTTTAGCTTTGCGGAGTGCTTTGGTTTTTATGCGATTTTCAATAATAGTCTTATTAATTTTTCTCTGGTGGATTTCACGTTGCTTAGCTTGATCAGTAAAACTACACGACACTGGAAGATCCATTTCAGCTTCTTCCATATCTTCTTTGTCTGAACTAATAGACTGCATCTGCAAAGGATCAGTGAGACGATAAAATGTATTATTTAAATAGGATTTTGGTGAGTAATTTAGAATATTTGTAGTACGGGTGCTAATAAAATAGTTTCTACATTTGTTGCCGACGAGCGACAATCAGCATACGTGAAGCAGTAAAAAAAGCCGATTGATAAAAAGCTTTGTAAACTCTCTAGGCTTTATTCCGACACTATTTAGTGGTTCCAGAGCACACTAGCATTGTTTTGATGACATGATGTAGTGCCTAATTATTCGATCCTTTAAGACTCTCACAGCAACTGAGTAGACAATTGGTAACCAACTGTACCTTGTCTGGGCTATATGTGCATGGATATACTGAGGTTTTATAAGCTGGCCGGTTCATATGATCAGTGTAGAAGGGCAAGTAGTCACTATTTTAAATCAACTCAGCTATAAAGAAACATTGAGATATAAAATAAGTATTTATTGTTCCGAGTTTCTACAAATTAGAATAGATAGGAAGCAGTAGTAAAATGTATAATGAACAGTCTAAAGTACTCGGAAGTTTTAGCACATAGAGGCGTTTTACTTAACAAGGCTAGAAGGTTTTTGGAAAGATATATCGTTCGGTGAGTGTATGAACTATAATCATAAAAATATTTGGCAAACATAGGCTATAAAACACTGATGAACCACACTAAATGTAGTAAACGCCTAAAGGCAACCCACATTAAGCTACAAGCGATGGACTAGTCTTCGTAGTAACAATCCAGACGCGTTTCCCTCCAGGTTGTTTGTATGGGATATGTTACACGGAGCCCAGTTCGTTGATAATAAGACTAACAGAACAACTGTTAGCATTACAATAACATGAGCTTGTATATACATTTTAGTACTAAATCGATGTGACAGTAGTCAAGTATTTCATCAACCGACTAGCATTTTTAGTTGCCTCTCCATTTCCAAAGCCAAACATTCAGCATATCTACGCAACTATCAGTCTTTAAAAGGCACACGTTCCAATGGGTGACCACAACTCTTCAGAAATTGCAATAGTTCCTAAGAAGATATCCTTGTTTGTGAAGTTAAACCTATGTACTAAGTGTTGTCCCAATCGGTGAGCGGCTAATTATGTTATTGGCGAGACTATAATTTAAGGACGAATCAATCAGATTTACGATAACAAGTCATAGATTTTGGCGCGAAATTCACTCACCCATTTGGCTAATTAGTGTTTTGGCAGTATAGCTGATGTCATTTCGTGACGAAAACCCTACATCTAATTCCTGACCTAAACCATCAACTGTAAATCATAATCCCTATTCTTCAAATTGCTTTATAACTCTCATTTAGCCCTAGTATGTAAGCGGACACTCTCAAGGTTAGTCTAGCGTCGCTCCAATGTCATCCATAAATTATAGTCTCACCAAGCAATCTTATGAAAACCCGAACCGCGATCAGATCATATTCGTTTAGGATAATCATTCTACGTCAAAGTGCCTAACACCTCTTACAGAATCACGAAGGGCAGCTAATACTTCAAGCTTGACTTCAAGTTGGCAATCTACTGAGGTTACATGAAACTTTCAGATGTGATGTATTAAGTGAACTCTCCAAAGTTTAGTACCAGACTACGAAGACTTTAAACATATCTTTCTAGAATGTGGCACAAAATAAGACCAGTAGCGTGATTAAGGATTAGACAACCATATACTACTGTAAGAGCTAAACACCTATTTACACTACGGCTTGAATCCAACACACTCATAGTGTAATTTCAGAAAAGATTTTGAATCCGAATTGTTTTCATTGCCAAGTTGCACAATTAGGCTATTCTGTGCAACACACTCATAAAAACGGCAGTGGCAAATGTACGACGACCTAACAAACAACCTTCACCGTGAAGTTTGCGCGCGTAAATATTACATTGATTGACCTTTGTCTCTCGTGTGTATAAACAAAGGCTCTTCAAGACAAAGTAAAAGAAGTAATACATGTTTTCGATGTTTCTGTGTACAGAAAATCTCTTGGTTAAGTGATTTTTACGTCAGGAATTTAACTAGTAATCACCTTAAAATATATGGTTTTCTCAGAATAACAAAATAAGTCTAGAGATTAATAATGTATCAAGTTTATCAACAGGACATAATAGCTAGTTTGATAAGAGCGACCATGCAGTAACAAGGAACATGACTCCGTCAAATTTACCTAGATGCCATATAATCTCATAAACACGGGATTATTATCTAAAGCAAATGAATATCAAAGATTTTGATGAACTAGGTTGTCTGTCTTGTAAGCAGCGTCTGATTAAGTACTATGGTGTGAAGACTTTGGAATATGATTATTTTTCTTCCGAATTAATGATCTTAGTCATCGGTCATCCTCAGTTTTGTAGTATGCAGAAGATATGGGTATACAACCAGCAAAACTGGGCGAACAGATTAGTGTGGAGCTTCGAAAACACTGATAAAATTATTATTATTATTATTATTAATGGCTTTATTCAATATTATATTTTGGTACAATATAGAATTCTCAGCACAGGGTATTTCAACAAGTTACTTATGCAAACAAACATAGTAACAAAGACAAAAAAAGTTTAAAAAAAATCTGAGAAACAGTACAACATTTAAAATTAAAGTCATGTTAAGAATGCAGGTTATTGGCTAGATTAACTCTAACAACCTGTTCGTCACAGAGTATATTTGCTAGGTAAGGTATTATAGAACATTTGTACTTTTCCTTGCGTACATGGATTTTAATGTAATTACGTCTCGTTCTACCAGAAGATATACAAGGAGAAAGATAAGAGTGAAGGGGATGGCTAGTATCTGATAAAATGACACCTGCCAGGAGTTTGCATGATTTTAAATGTCTATCCACAACCATATTAATCATGACCTTGAAAGATTCACCACACACCTTGCTAACTGCCTTCAGCATTCTTCGCAATACAGCAAAGTCTTTTCTCAAAAGCCCGGGAAAGAATAATGGAGAACAGTAAAGAATAATAGGTAGTATGCAAGAATTGACAAATTGTAGGAGTAAATGACGAGTAATTCCAAGAGCATGCAATCTCTTTATGTAATAGGTCAGACGGAAAACCTTCTTCGATAACGATAAAACGTGGGAAGACCAAGACAGATCAGAGGAAAAGGTGACACCAAGATAATTGACCTTCGACACTGAGTTTATCAAAGAGTTTCCGATGGTACAAGCACTATGGGATCTCAAAATAGTGTTTATATTCCGTTTATGTCTCATGCTAAAGTTAACAGCTTGACATTTAGACGGATTAAGTATGAGACCATTACCAACAGACCAACAATCAATACGAGACAAAAACTCATTCATTTCTATGGGATGTAAAGGGGAAGATATAGGCATACATACAGTGAGGTCATCCGCATACTTAACAAAAGTGTTTTCTGTGGAAGATGGCAGGTCATGCAGAAAAAAAGAGAATAGAAGAGGTGAAAGAACAGCTCCTTGTGGTACACCTTCATGAGACAGTAGAGACTCTGAACTCTTTCCTCCAAACACAGTGTATTGTTCCCTTCCAGAGAGGTAGGAACATAGCCAGTTAGTTATCCAGCTGTCAGTGTTGACGCTGATTAACTTGTTAAGTAAACGTTGTCTTGGTATAGAGTCAAAAGCTGAAGTATAGTCCAGAAAAGTACATGGAACATACTTCTTACCCTTTTCTAAGTTGAACACTATGTTGTGATGCAGAACAGCAACAGCATCTAAAGTGCTTCTTTTGCTCCTGTATGCAAACTGGTATGGGTCAGTATGCTCTTTTATCGCAGGCTGAAGTGGAAGAATTAATAATTTTTCCATGGTTTTGAGGAAGGGTGAAGTTATTGCAATAGGTCTAAATTTTACATTCTTATCACCAAATGCTTTCTTGGGTACAGGAATTATCTTCATCTTTCTCCACATTTTCGGCATGAGATTAGATGAGAAGGATCTGTTAAATATAGTTGTGAACGGATGACACAGAACGTCAGCACATTTTTTAAAAAGGATGTTTGGGATACCATCAGGTCCCAAACATCGAGATGAATTAAGCGACTGGAGACATCCTCGTACATCAGTTTCAGTGAAAGTAGGAACACAGCTAGTTTTTAAACCCGTAGATAGAGGGAGCATCACATCAGATGACTGACGTACAAAAGACTTATTTAAGTCACTAACATTCAGCTGGTTATCAATTCTAAACTTTCTGTCACCTGTAAGTTCTTTAAAGAATTTCCACATACTTGGAGAGTTTTTGCAAGATAAGAGCTTTTGAGTAAACATACAGTTGAGACGTCTAATCTCTAGGTTTATCAGACCATTTAGCTTACGAACTTCATTAGAGTTCTTCTCGTTGTACATGCTTTCTTTCATCCTTCGTAGTCGTTTTAGTTGTGAAGATGTAAGTCGATCAAAACTTACAAAAATGGTTTCGGTGGGACAACAAATATCAAAACAGAATTTAAGGTAACAAGTGATAACATCAGTAGTGTTTTCCAGTGAGTCATCTGTAAATAATTCCCAGTTAGTCGTATGAAACATGTTTTCAGATTTCGGATATTTTCTTCTGAGTAATTCCTATATTTTACTTTCTTGGTTTGATGTAAGAGTGTATGTAGTGGCATTGGACAATAGTCACACAATCCACAAATCTGTGAACACGAGACTACTCAGAAAATAGATATTCAATATTTAACGCGGAGAAATACCTAACAATGGAGAAGGCGCGAACAATGAATTGAATGGACTGGAGTTGATCGAGTGGCATGGCTCGGCCATGCAGGCGTGGTCTCTGCTGAATGTTATCTTATATCTTCTATTCATATTAAATATATTGTTCTTTCTCTAACCTAACCTTGTTCTACATCATGTATTGGTAATTGATACGATGCAGTGAGTTGGTGTAGTCGATGGTGTGACTTCCACGTAAGATCTTATAGATTAGGCAGTTATATCATGGCAAATCTACAAATTTAGGATTAGGTCTATTATTAGAGCAGTACTAATATCATAGTAGACCATAATTCTACATTGGTGAGCCCAACTAAAGAAACGCAACCTATTATTATTAATCCTTATTTCCACTTCAACTTTCTCGATCGATTTTATATTTATGTTAACCCTGTATTCTAATAGTCCTTTGATTAATGCTCACATGCATTATCGTAATGTTATATTGATTAGTCCTCATGACAAACTAGCTCAATCGATAATAAAAACTGGTCGTCTATATTAACTAATTAGCTTTGATGGTTTGTTAACAAGCTGTAATAGCATTTACATGCTTCAGCGACATAGTCTTGTTTAAACATCAAGCTCTAGCAAATATATCATCTGTAAATAGCGTAAATATACATTGACTAACAATGCGGTTAAGGACTAAATAGTTATCTGGATCTAATTCTCAGTGTTCCTTCACTTAACACCTCATCCTGTTTTAAACGATGCACTATCCTGTAATATCTTTTCTTCCGACCACTGCCTGCCTAATTTCATATTCTCGAGTTCCTTTGCCAAACAACGAGGATGACTACTCCAAAAACATACGGTGAGTTTCAGCTATAAGTTTTCTGCAATCATTTTTAGATGGTTTGTTCAATGACAACCGCACAATTATCTGAATTCATTCGGTTGTTCTAATCCGAGCGAGTGGCAAAAACGTCAACAGCATCAAGCACCCTGGGATTATTTGCCATACTGCATGTTTTATTCTGGATACTTTTGGATCATTACTACTCCTCACGAATGGCGTTATATATGTCGTCCACTGAATAATCTAATTTTCAAAAATAACCCAGGCGAGTTCAACTATTTTACTTAATGATTTTTTTACTTAACATGTATATGTTTTCCGGTTCCTTTTGCTATATATTTGTAATTGTCCCTAGGCTAAATGCAGTAACTCCTTATGGAATGTTTATAACGCATCATATTCCTGCCTGAAGTTTCACAAGCAGTCTAAACCTTAAAACTATTTTCTGGTCATGTTCATTATTTTTAAATCGTCATATACGTCAACAACCTGCATGTTAACCTGGCCCATACATACGTTACACTATATCTCCATGTCTTCTAAATTTAGAAATCATCTGGATCGCCTTTAAAATTTATCAATAAACCCATGATAGTCGTTGTTGCTAATCGTATTTGGGTTTATGGATTGGTTTATCATATTAGCAGCCTAAAATGCGAACATAGTTTAGATAATAAGATTAAAAATTTAGGTACTATCAACTGCACTAGTAAAATAACTAAATCCCCAAGTAGCTGTTGGCTAAACAAACGTTTAAAATCAAAACTCTGTAACCTACTAGAATTAACACTAAACGAATATTTCTGAATTGAAATTTATAACTAAATTAGGCGTCTCGGATTCCGTAACGTTGTAAATTTCTGATGATTTCGAGTCACTTAAAGCAACAATACCTATTTTTCCACTGGCTAATCCTCAATCAACACTATAACTAGTTAAATTTAATAGTTTCAGGATATCATCATAAAGCATTGTCATAACTTGACAATCACGTAATATGACTGATAAAATTATTGAAACTATTAACGAAATCGGTCAACAAATTGACTTATGATTACCATTAAATGGTGTTGTTTTCTTGGTATCTTCATCCATCACAGATGATTACAGTATGTTTCTCTATCAGTTGCTCATTCAGTAAATATCTCAAAACCTTGTCAGTCTAATTGATGGTTTAGCGACACAATTATGCATCCAAAAAAATCAGTATAAGCAGTCGAGCAAATCTCCTGCAAACTGAAAACATCAATGTCGAATTTACCCCAACACTGACTAAGGTTCAAGCCATTATCATAGACATGAGTTGGGAGTGTACTCCCCTTGGCTACAACTTGTTTCCTCCCTGGTAATCACATGAGCGCCACT